AGAAATTCAATTTATTTTTATTAATCTATATGTATATGTCTTATCTATGAGGCGAGTGGACCTGGACACAGATGAGCCACTGAAATGTAACCCTTATTGACAGCTGAATAGACGTCACTGATTTGTCACCTGATCGGTGATTAATTGCGTCAAGCGCCTACGTCATGGCTGATTAAAAGTATATTTTCTAGCAAATAACGGCAGCTTAAGCGAAATAAAAAATACGTATATAAAGCTGAAACTATAAGGAATCAAAATATGTGTAAATTAAAGTACAACTATTAATCCAAAACAAAGAATTAAATATGAAAGTTGAGAATATTGGTTAAATTTCACGTAAATATTTTTTTTAAACAAGTTTTTACAAATAAAATTGTATCAAATCTCATTTGATATTTATTCTTTACTAAACTAGACAATATAAGCTTTAATTTGATACCAAAAGTGTAAACATTCATTGTGTAAACTTTATACAATAAACATAAACATAGACCCTATTCCACTTGAAATCCGACACTCGATTGTTTTTCAATGCGACGGCAAGATGGCCGCCCATAAGGCCATAAACACAGGGTTATTCATCTATTTTTTTATTATTTAGTTAGAAATATTTTGTTTCATAAATAGGTACATGACATTCTTATATTTCTAAATAACATATATATTAACATGTATAACACATATTTATTTATAAAATATATTTTTATTAAATTTCGGTATATAATATACATATTTAGTTATGACACATTTTTTTAATATTTGAAATGAGCATTTATTGTAGATTTATGATATTGTAATAAAATACAAAAAAGCACAGTAACAGTATGTGAGCTATATCTCAGCTAATATTATTTATTTTACGGCTGGTGATATGCCTTAAAACAGCCCTCAACGCAAAGATTAATGTCGCGCTCCTGGCATTCCCAAATTTTTCATTATTGTTCCAGTATTTTTTGAAAACATCAAACAGGAAGGGGTTACTTTCACCATCGGTGTGGCCTGCTTCTTCCTTGAAATCCAAAAGCCTTAACGACTTACATATTTCTTTGAATAAACTGAAATATTAAGCGTAGTTACGATTAGTACGTAAAATGAAAAAGATAATTAAGCTTGTTCATCTTACACTCTCACATGTCCATGTCTTCGCAATATCATTCTCACGTCTTGATAACTTGCAGTAAATATTAGTATTATTACGATTAGGAGGATGACGTCTTAAAAATCAAAGATCCGTCTTGACAGCTTGGAATGACGTATGTGATTTTATTTTTAAACATTAGTGCATGGTGAAAGAAGGTTCGTATTTGGCATAGACTTCAGACCTAGAAAAAGATAAAACAAAAATACCCTATAATAAAATAAATAAAACGAATGTACCACACCAAATAAAAAAACGCGATAATACGAAAATACCCTCATGTTCACAGTTTGTATGTAACCTTACTTTGATACTTTTTCGTGACGTTCGTGTGACGTCATCAGCCCATACAAAAAACCTGCGGAAGACAATTTTAAAAACGTAAAATAATAAGTGTTTGCGTAACAATCCTTTCGTTTTTAGTGTTTTTAAATGTTAATAATGAACTGTTTTTACAATTACTAGGAATATTTTACTACAATATATAATATATAAGACAATTTTAATTATGAAAACCGGCACAATGAGGGTAGATTTTTAAGTGTTCATTTTATCACCCGAAATAATATTCTTTTAGACTTTTGATTCATATAATTTGATGAAATCATGAAAGAAATATTCATGAGGATTATTTCAATGTATAATACTAATACACTGCGTTTATAAATAAATCAATACTTACATTGTTAATGCGGACCCCACAACCACTTGAAATAACTTCGAACAGTTTTTGTAAACAATTTTTTTTTGAGGGTAGCTGTCGCCGTTTATTGTGTTCTACCCACCAAAAGACGCGTTATTTAATCAGGAACCATCTTTTTTTAGCGATATTGAACCACTACGACAATTCTATGGAGAAAATTACTTTTAAAGTTAACAAAGTGGTTGGGCTGCCATAGTCGCCCTAACGTTTGACGCTTAAAAAATTTGGGCTGCCGTAGTCGCCCTAACGTTTCAGCGGTGAGACGGATGTGTTAATGTGTTATTTATCACTATCAAGGTACGTCCATAGATGATACACTTATATATTGAGACGTCTTTTTGTACATTTTGTGCCATCTTTGCTGTGAATTCCATATAGTCAGTCAATTTCTATTCCGTTGAGTTTAGTAACCTTTGTACTCCTCCGGGTAGTCTGCTGATTGTATTGTGCGCGCAGTAAGTTTGTGACTCAGAAGTTTTGCTGGGAGATAGAGACTCGAAGTTTTTGTGTTTTTTATTGATGTAGGACTTCTATAACATGTCTATGTCAAGAAAAAAGTGTTGTATTCCTGGGTGTATTAGATCAGATAGTAAGATATAATTTAATACCACTAATAGGCGTAAGACCGGCAAATAATCCATCCTTTGATTATATACTTGACAATTATATAATAAAAGACTCCATCCATTGTACCAAATAGCTAGCGTTAAATTTACAATTAGCATTTTATTTACAAATTTAAATGTCGGAATTATACTTAAAATGACGTTTGCACGTGGTCATTTTAAGTATAATGTGTTTGCATGTGGTCATTTTAATCCATATGCCATTAATTGTATATTTATTGGAATACATGAATATTATGAATCACTATAGCTTTGTATTTGTAATTAAATATGGAAGACAATGCCTACAGATTCTTAAATAAAATGGGGAGGTTTGATAGATATGCAACTATTTATTCAATAAAAATGTAGTCTAATAATCACTTTGATTCACTATTATGAATATTATTTTAGCTTTTGACTACTCGGCCAGTTATATTTAATATTATTATTTTTTTCAGAATCACATCGGACAATGCATCTGTTTCCAAATCCAACTAAAGATAGAGAACGCTTTAGTCAACGTGTTCTATCAATTGGTGGTAATATAATTGGTTTAGAAAATGAGGACATATATAAACATTGCAGTGTATGCCATGTACACTTTGAAGAAAAGTATTGTTGCCGCAATAACAGATTGAGTAAAATTGCAGTGCCAACATTACATTTACCTAGTTGGTTAAAACAATTCATAATGCTGTGTTCATTTGAAATATTCCAAACAACCAGACATTATTTCCTTACATGAATTTGATTGTGTTGATGTACTTAAACTGTACCATTAATATTATAGTTCTATTTATATTCTTTAACCAATTTTATAGTAAGCTTGCTAAAGGGTATGCTTTATCCATATATGTAGACTCAAAGTATTAAGAAAAATGTTATATAAGCAATAAGTGTTACTGGTTTCATCCTCGTTTTATTTTGCAGGATGTATTTCATTAACACAATTTACTTTTGGTGAAAGAAGAGAAAATTAATCATCTCCAATAAAAACCTTAGCTGCCAAATCTACCTTTGCTGCATTGTCAACTTCAGTGTTTTCTGCCTGCCCTTAAGCATCTAAAATAATGAAAGAATATATGGGTAATGATCTTTTATGTTTACTCTGTAGTCACTGCCTTAATATATTGTTTTGTGTAAGTAATCACAGTCATAAATATTTACCATTTTTAGAATTACTTTTCTGCTCATTCTATATATACCTATTAAATACTTTCACTGTTCAGTAAATAAAATATTTGATAACAAAAATTATGAATTGTTTAAAACAAATGGGTTTATAATTAAGATAAGCATAATTATTATAGTGTTAGTGTGCACTCAAGGTGATTCGTTTTAGATGTGAGTTAATTAGATAAAGTATTCATTCAACTCACAAATTATCAGCTCTGCTAGGATTCAAACCTGGGCCTACCAGTAGGTAACTAAAACATACAGTATGATCTGGAAGCCATCAATTTTGGTTAAAATGAAATGTAAATTTAATATAATATTCCATTTACTTTATTATATTTTAGATCCTGTAAAAAAGCAGCTACTATTAGACAAGAATGATCTTCAGCCTGAGAAGAAAGGTATTTTAGTCTGTTATCCTTAATGTAATCTATTATCTTTATAAGTAGGTAAGTTTTATCTTATAAATACAATTTCAACAAAAAATCTTGATTAATTAAGTTACTATTAGACATTATAAATTAAGACAGGCTACTCATACTACAAATTTAACATACCTTAATCAAAAACAACCTTTTATAATGTAAATTTATTACAACAATAACATTGAAAAAAATTGAATAAGGTGTAATTTATAAAATTAATTTATTTCAAAGAATCCCTGAATGTTACTAAAGCAGTAAAGAAGCATGTAACTTTAACCCCTGAGGAGCGAGTGCTATATAAAAAATTAATTCAAACAAGAGTTAAACTATCTAAATGCCATAACAGAGTCAAAAGACATTACACAAGTCTCAAGGCAATGCAAAGCCTCACATCAAACCCAGCACTTTTGGCAACCATAGAAAAGTTTAAAAAAGTTTACGAAGTGCTGCAAAATTATTAACAATGATGCAATTCAGGGAAGTAAAAAAGAAATGCAAAGGTTGACGATTCTCATTACAGGAAAAATTTTAGCCTTATCAATTTTTAAACAAGCACCTAAGGGATACAGGTTCTTAAGGAAAATTTTTGTCTTACCTGCACCGCAAACCTTGGCTAAATTTATAAGCCGTGCCAACATAAAACCGGTTGGCAACAATAAAATATTTGCACAGTTAAAAACTGTTACAGAAAAAATGAAAATAGAAGAAAGACAACAGTTTGGTGTTGCAACAGTTTGCAATCAAGGTGCAAACAACAGGCTTGCCATAAAGCTGTTGCTGCAAGAAACAAATGCTACATATTTACGACGAGGAGAGGAGCCTAGAGAGAATATAATTCTTATAAATAACAGTGAAGTGATTCCTCTCTACGATCCCCCACATTTACTAATACATTTTAGTAAATGTGGGGGATCGCAATAATTTGCTGACAAAAAATCTTGAATATACTGCAAATCAAACTAAATGTACTGCTAAATGGCAGCACCTTCTTTTATTACATAAAGAAATTCCAGGGTATAAAGGTGTAAGGCTCATACCAAAACTGACAGTGTCTAAGAATAAGATGAAAGTTAAGTTTGCAACCCAAATATTTAGCAGAACTGTTGCAACAAATATGGGGTATCTTGCAGGTAATTGTTACTTTTTTTTTTTCAAAAGGTTATATCTTATCGTTTTATGTACAATGGCAGTTGTATCAACAGAAATTATATCAGTTTGTCATTATTTCATACCATAGGAGAGTAATTGCCTGATTTTACTCCACTATAGTTTTAGTAAATTTTCTGTACTTACTGTAATCATTCTTGCCCGATTGAGACTACTTATTTTTGTCCTCAATATTTTATTTGAGTTCAAGTGTTTTTTTACAGAAATTAAGAGAAAATTTTAATATTGATTTTGATAATAAAACAGTTACAGTACAGTAAAGTAAAGTAACCCTATCTACAGAGGGTATTAGGGCAGAGTATACCACGCGACCCCACCGCGAATTGGTGGACTTCGCATATGTTCGAAATGTTTTTTTTTTGTTATTATTTCAAAAATATGCAGGATTCCCTATGTTTTCCTTCACCGCTGAGCATTTGATAAGTCAGTCACTTAAAATTAACAATTTCATTGGTGCCAACACCAAAGATTGAACTCAGGCTTGAGTATAATAAAATAAATGTAAAATTAAAAAAAAGTAAAATTTAAAAAGAAAATGAGCTATCACATCTTTTTAGCACAGAGACAGCCTATAAAGAAACTCTTCCTCTTTACAGAGGGTATTAGGGCATAGACATAGTCCACCATGCGGCCCCCCAAAAAGCTATTTGGGAATTGAGGAGTGTCGGAACAAAAACATTTGCAACACCTGAAGGGTTGCAGATGCCAGATGCCACCTATCAGACACCGACTTATGCAGTCAGCCTGTCCATTATGTTGTGTATAAGTCCATTTTGTTTTTTTTTATTTCTCATCAAATACTGCATACATAAATCTTATATGGATATCAAAACAGTGTTACTGAGACATATAAACAATTAAACCTTGTTTATCTCTAAATTGGAAATCCGTAAAAGACATATGTATTATTTTTTGAAAACATAAAAAAATGTGATTTATCGGTTTTTATTCCGATGTTCCCCAATTATACTACCTTACCTATATAATACCCTACCTGCATAAGCTTAATTATGTATTGGGCATTTAAGTTTATGATATATATAAGTGCAACTTCACCCAAATTGAGAGTAATTCTTTCATTTTTTCCATATTATTTATTTGCTTTATTATCTATTTCCACAACTTTTTAACACCATCCATTTTCTTTTCAGATAAGGGCATTATTCCTAAAAAAAGTAGTCAAACGGCTGACATGCTATTGATTTTCGACAATTTATTTGATTCCCAAAATGAAAGTAAAAGAAAAATAAGAAATTTGCAAAGCCACTTCTAGGTCCTGTCACTATGTCTTCTGTGCATCACAAAGTATGGTTTGAGGCAAAACAAAAACTTAAAACTATGAAATTTGTAAATCCAATTTCCGGAAAAGCAGAAAATGTCCATACACTTAATAATTGGGCATGGACACTTGATGGAATTCAAGTTTTAATAAAAAAACTAAATATGGACTTTAAAATTACAGCTCTATGGATGCGGCACCTTAACCAAGACACCTTGGAAAACTTTTTCGGTGCTATTAGAAGTCACGGGTGCCGCAACACAAACACTACGCCTGAAAAATTTGAAGGCGCATTTACGACATTACGAATCAATAATATCACAAGTGTCCATGCCCCTATTGGAGCTAACTGCGAAAATGATTTGTGTGAATATCTGCATGCCCTCATCGTCACTGATGACTGCAAAGCCACACCGACTGTTTGCAGCTTGGATAGCATCCTAAATATAGTTATTGAGGACATACAAACAAAAAAAGTCCATCATATTATGGCTCCCTTACAGTATGTAACTGGATACTTCATAAAAAATTCAAAAAGAAAGATTTTTAAAAGCTGCACCACTTGTGCTGAAGACCTTATTAGTATTTAAGCTATTAAATACATTAAATATAGAGAATATTCAGTTCGTCAGTGGCTTTGCAGTCCAACTGATGCTACAATAAATTTTATATCAGCAGTGCAAGATGTCACATATTTTATCATAAAAGGATATCTAGATAAAAACAATATAAAATAATTAATAAAAACATATATTGTAATGTTAATTGATGTTGAGTTTTTAAATTGTGAAGAACATAAAAAATTATTAGATTAGATTTAGTTAATTATCTTATAAAGTTAACTTCAAGATTTTTCTTATACAATTATTGTAAAGATATTAATAAAATATTAAAAGGACATGCTTCAAATAAAAGCAAAAAAATTAAACTCATGTTTTAATTTTAGATTTACTAATGAATCATTAATGGCTAACTTATGAAATCCGTTTCATGTGTATACGTTAAATAAATAAAATATAAAAGGTTGTTAGCAATTAGTAATTCATAAACCTTTATCCCCAAAATATTTAAAATGCATAAGCAGTGTATGGACACAGTATATATATATATACATATGTCGCAGGATCACTACGTGGCGCTATAATTTGATTTCAACACTATTGGTAGCTCTCGGAAACATCAAGTAGTGCGCTTGAGTAAGATCGGTAGAGAAAGTGAGAGAGCGGACTTGACGGTTATGGTTGTGGAAGTCAATTGACATCGGACACGGGGGTGTGTTCTAGACAAAGAGTACATTATTAACATAGTCATCAATCTCTTCGTGAGACAGCACCATCTCTTGATGCGGGAACGAACTACAAGTTCAGATGTTTATATCCTGTACTAATTAACCTTTTGTTTTTACAGTTGAGAGCTGTATTCAAGTACAGTTTTCTATATAGTGTATATATTTATTTTATTTATATTTGATAACATTTTATAGAAAACTGTAATTGGATACAAGCTTGCTAGATGTTACTTTTGGATAAAGTAAATAAAATACAGAAATATGTTATTGTAATATTCACTCGCTATTTTTTTATAATCTTTTTATGAATGATTTCGAGTCTGGTGCCGTTTGGTAAATTATTTACGTTAAATTATTTTTGGCTATCCAAAATCAGTAAATTTCCTCCAATCGATTGAATAGATGTTTTAAATCAGTCATTACCATTTTCAGGTGGGAAAAAAATGCAAATTTGCGTTGCAGTCTTTACCTGTAAATACAATATGAATGTTTTGCCGAAACGTATAACAAAATAAAATAAATGAATAACAACCGGCCGCAGATCAGTGTTACCAACTGTTGAAAAAAAAAACTAAAGTATTTCAAAAACCTCCTAAATTTCACTGTTTTCAAAAAAAAACTTCCTAAATGAAAAGAGTCACCTTTTTATTAAATTATCTAACAAGCTAGAATAACTATCGGAAAATTTAATTATCTAGGTTATCAAAACTGTTTTATTTAAAAATTAACTTAATATACTTGACCTTGAACATTGTTCATTGACTTGAAAAATATTTATACAAATTAAGTACAAGATGTATTCACTTATGTATTTGTGACGTTATAATCATTTTCATTATTTTTAAGACTCAGACAAAAAATAATGGGAATAAGTATTATTCAAAAAAGATCCGAATGAAACATACCTATCTTTAAATTCATTGTCTTTTTCCCCACTTAACAGCATATTTTTGAGCATATCCGATGACAATCGCCTCATCATTTGGGATTTTATATTACATAGTAAATGAATTAAATATATTATGAGTAGTCGTATATTCACAATAAGAGTTTATGGCGGAACAATTTAAAATACTACATAGGCCAATGCTGCCAATACTATAACATTATATTTTGTGTTTTTTTTTTCAAATTAATAATTTTTGTTTAATAAAATACAATTTTCTCCAAAATAAGAATCATAGATACAATTTGACCACCCGATTGGCGTAGTGGGTAGTGTACCTGCCTCCTGCGCCAGAGGGTGTGGGTTCGATCCCCACTACTGGAAAAATATTGTGTGATGAACATGGTGTTTTTCTAGTGACTGTGTGTTTCTATATGTATAATATGCACTTATTTACAAAAAAAGTATCTATAAGTATGTTTATCAGTTTTCTAGTACCCATAGTACAAGCTTTGCTTAGTTTGGGACTAGAAAATGTTGTGTACAAATGTGTCCTAAATATTTATTTTTTTTTAAATTTATTTTAACTTAAAATAAAATTTTGTTTTTAATTTAATGGTACCAAGGTTAAAATGGTTTTGCATTTAAAAAAACGCCACCGGTTTTCGAAGGACGGGACTAAACGGAATGAGCTAGCTCCATACAAATATCAAATGTATGGACTGAAAAGACCGTGGTTGTGACGTCATGACGTCATAATAATATATATTGTTGCCAATGCCAAGCAATATCCCCAAATATTCGGCCGGCGGGTTGTGGCGAGCGTTATATACCGCCACCGTCGGACACCTGTGCAAATTTAGCACCCCATCTGAGGATTTGCTAAGTGCAAATGACCTTAATCGATAGGTCTACGTTAGGTCTATATAGGTCCATCAAAATTTTCGTTAGGTCCTTTATAGTTTTTTTATAAATAATTTTTTTAATTTTAATGAAAATAAACACATTTTAGCACCTCATTCAATGAAAAACTGACAAATTTAATCATAATCGTATTCTTTATCGTTAGGTCCGTATTGGTCCATCATTTTGGTTATTAAATTATTTATTTTATTTGTTTAATTGATAATTATAAAATAGCTGAGAAAGATCCGTTCCCTTTGACATTGTTTCATCAATCTGTTGGTGTTTCGTTTTAAATGTTTAAGAAATGATCTCCTATTTACATTTCCTAGAAATATTTATTTCAATAATAACAAAAATAATAATGCTATTATTATTAATAGTGATGAGTGCTGGTGATTATCAATGATTAAAAAAATATTTAATTAAATTAATCTTCAAAAATAATTCCTGAAAATTATGATAATTGAGAAATTATTGACATTTCGCTCTAATGAACTGTGAAAATAAATTTTATTTTTTTTTAAATTTATTTTCATGGAATTTGATTATTGAATTATTGTTGATTATTCTCGAAATATTGTGAATATCATTCCGTATCAAATAAATAATATTGATGTCACGTAGTTATTTCATTACTGTGTTATCTAGGCAATGTTCATAGAGCTTGTTCAATCGAAAAAGAAGAAAAAAGGTATTATATAATAAAAGACAAATTTGTATACATCACTTTTTATTGAAACTTTGGTACATTACAAGTTGATCTTAAAATCTTATATTATGACTAATGCCCAGTTTCCGAAAGGCCAATCAAAGCAGCAATCACATAACTCTAGGTCAAAAATGATCAGCTGTTAATATCTTGTTAAATTGCCTTGGGTTTCTGGAAGGTTTGTTCAAGAAAAATTAGCTAATCACTGTATAACCAATGATAATGAATGAAATGAATGATTTACTTCAACTAACTCTTTCTATTGTATAGCTGTCCCTTTTTAAACAAAACTTAAATTATCGTCACTATACAGTCCTGTCACCGTGTGATTGCCAACGTAAAAATCCGAGCTATAATACAATTTAATTTATATAAATACATGCAAAATGTCAAGGAAAAAAAATGAACTTTTATCCATAATAAACAAATAAGTATTATAAAAAGAAAGAATCCATATTATTTATTAACTTTTGAATTGCATTTTGTATTTTTTCTAATCGCATAATATGTTCGCATAATAATAAATAATAAATAGGTGATAGAACACATGAATGTCCTTACAACGTATTAGGGAATTATGTTTATTTTTCATAAAAACTAAGATTTGTGATAAAATAAATTTTTAACCTACGATTGATCGTCCAAATTGACAGATTACTAAAACTTTTGACAGCTCGTTGACCACCGAAAAACGCTTTCAGAAACTCGATTTTCTGTTGTCCGTTAATCAGTGACTAATTGCGAATCAAAATCAATGTTGTTTTCAGACGTTCTAGCAACTCAGATCCGGTTAAACAACGATTGACAAGAGATTTATCGTAAATTAAAATTGATTGCGCTTTCGGAAACTGGGTGTAATTGTTATAAAATAAATAAATGCAGATTTTTAATCAAATTTAGTTTTTTTTATTTTAAAACCTTCAAAAGCGCAAATAATATTAAACAAATGTTTAATAGTCAACATCAATAAAAATAACGTATTTTGTTACAGCAAGATATAATAGCTATATGATGAAATTTTTATAATACTGTATAATACTTGGAACTTATTATTGAATTGTTCATCCTGAACTTCTCTTGATGATTATTGGTAAAAATATTTAGTTTTATGTGGACAGATGATAAGTTTTTTGATATAAAATAAATATTTTCTATTTAAATTAACAATAAAAAAGATTTTAAATCTTTCAAATAAACTAATTTATCACAAAAAATAAACTTATTGAAGCACAACATAAAAGAATAAATTGAGTTACTGAATTAACAAACATTGAAAAATTTAGATCAAATAAAATAATTCTTAACAGTAACAGCAATAAGCGAACAATAATAAAGTATTTAAATGAAATAAATTGTTCTGAATAAAATTACATTTTGCTTATTTCAAATTACTAACTTTTTTATGCTAAATTATCAACTTGTTTTTTTCTTAATTCATTTTACAGAGTATCACTTAAAAAAATTGTAATTTTATGTATTTTTTAATTTAATAAAAATTATAGCTGATATAAAATTCAAATTTTAATAATCATAAGTAATAATTATGAAATTATTTTTTTTTAATGTCAGAAATCTTCTAATTTTGTTCAAATACAAATAAACTTTTATAACAGAAAAAGGATCATTTTTACAGGATTCTTGTAAAAATAACGGCATCAGGTTTTACGTCTTTCGAAGATAAAACTTTTGTTGCTGTCGTTGCTTTATCATCATATAAGCTCCAATAATTCTGGCCTCTTCTACAATATGATTTAAAATGACCTGCCTCACATTCTATTATTCCTCGCAACCTGTAAAATAAAACAAACAATAATTTTTTTCATTAAAAAATATTTAACACTTAGTGTTGATAAAAATAAATAATTGATACTCACCGATAATTAAAATTATTTAATTGAATAATTGCAGGCATATCTCTTAGTTTGCATGTTAACGGCCCACTTTTCAATTTTTGAACATTTAGTTCAATGCAAATACATCTATTGAATAACAGTGACCGATTAATCATAGTTAATTTGCATTTTATACACCGTATCTTGGAATCAAATGTAGATATCGACTCTTGAAGCTTACTATATCCACCTTCCCATATTTTATGGTTTACCTGTACCATTGGTACAGGTACTTTATGCAAGCCACATATTCTACAGTCGTGATTAAAACATGCGGAATTAGGAAAACATCTTGTCCATATATCAAAAATACTAGACCACATATCTATCTCATTCGCATATAAAACAGATTCTTTATTTTTTTCTACAATTCTATCTTTGAATAACTGAAATAATAACACGGTTCTACTTTTATATACTGATGTGACGGGTCCTTTATCTATAAATTCACAAATTAATTATTTATAACAAAATATAATAAAACATAAGAAATAAAGTTGAATTAAATAACCAACAAGATTTTCTTCTATAGCAGCATTTATAAATTTTTCCTCGCATTTTGTAATTAACACTTTCATTATTGTTTATTATCGTTGTTGTAAATAATTCAAGTTATATAAATAATAGTTGTTATTTACCTGTATAAACATAACCTCTAAAAACACACCAGGACTTCTTTACTTTGATTTTATATTTATTTTTTTTAAAACTTCTTTAATTTTAACGTATATCAATGAATAAAGTGAAGCAGTATCACAATTATCACCTGAAGTATAATGCACTGTGTATTAGTGCTCCAATAATTAGAATTTATAATCACTTTGTTGTTGTTTCCTCACACAAGTCATCTCTTATATTTACAAACACATTTAGGCAATTAGCATTATAGGCTCATTTAGACCGGAAAGAAGTTAGCGTATAAAGTTTAAAATTTTAAAGTTTTTTTAAAATTAACTACCTATGTAGAATGTGTAAAAGAATCTGTAATTACTCCACTTTTGTGATTATTAGTTAATTAATAATTAATTTTTTGAAAATTAATTTGGCTATAAACGAAAAATACAGACTTTTTACAACTTTTTTTTTATTTGAAAAGTTGCTCACTATTTGCTCTAATATTTATTCAACAATTTATTAAATTTTTATAATCATTTATTATAATTAAATTTAAAAACAAAATTTGCATGTTAACTACTGCATTATGACGTCATCAACTGTCGTTGAATTCACCAAAAGCCATAATTACATGTAACAATTTGTAACATGTGACAATTTCATATTTGATTTAATGTTTATAACTTAAACCTATTTGTGAGTTCATCATAAGTGGGGTTATTTTTGCAAATAGTACAATAACTAATCATTAGGTAAACATTATTCTGTGAAAGTATTTTTTCAAGTTAAGTCCTCAACAAGTTGACATAGCAGATATATAAATTTATATATATATATATTCGGTATTGTGGCCAAACTCAGTATATGACTTTATAGTCATCAGAATATTTATACTTTTTTAGTGAATTATGAATAATTGTTTATAAATATTTGATTTATTTACTATACACTTTAGTAATTGAATAATTAAATAGAAAGTTCATGTGCTTTTTGATATAAGTATTACTCTTAATTTTTCGAATTATCATCATTATGTTCATTATGATTAATGTGTTAGACTAAAATTTATTTAAATTTTTATACTAATATCGTTTACAAATATCCTATAATCGACTTTAAAAAATGTATACTTTTTTTTACGTTATTATTTTTTTTATTAATTGATAATTCTCTAATAATTATATCCTGTCTAAAAATTATAAAGTGTCATGAATCTACTAATGTTAATGTTATAAATTTTCATGTGTTTGACAATAACTTTTAATATCAATTATTTGTTGTTTTCAGGAAGTTCTTGTTAGCGTGTCAAGCAAAAATAGATAAATGTAATCAATTGTCATGGAGCATTCATTATTATTTAAATGAATTCTGGACTAGTAATGAAGTATATTCAGGATGATGATAATCATTCAATTTTTAACCGGGTAATAAGTATTTATATCGTTGATTTATAATATCTGTAAGGAAATTTGATGCTTATTTTATTTCTTAATTTAAATTTCGCGCCATTTATTCATGATATGCGCATGTGCAGCTTTTAATTATTTTATAATTATCAATTAAACAAATAAAATAAATAATTTAATAACCAGAATGATGGACCAATACGGACCTAACGATAAAGAATACGATTATGATTAAATTTGTCAGCTTTTCATTGAATGAGGTGCTAAAATGTATTTTTTTCATTAAAATTAAAAAAATTATCTATAAAAAACTATAAAGGACCTGACGAAAATTTTGATGGACCTATATAGACCTAACGTAGACCTATCGATTAAGGTCATTTGGACTTCGCAAATCTTCAGATGGGGTGCTAAATTTGCACAGGTCCGTCGGACGAGGCGGCCATACCCAAGTCATACCTATCGGGTATGGAACGGCCCTCTGCCGTACATACCGGTGTGCGTACTGGTATGTTCATACTGGGTATTTATACCTGTTCCAGTATATACGCCTCATCCCTAATTGTGACTCTTATTTAATCGGTCAACGAGCTGTCTCCATCGGTTTCGCTCCGTCGCCTGGTTGAGTGCGGCGCTTATGGGGATTTCCAGGTTTTTTTGAAATTTGATCCGCCCACCTTTTAAGAGTACGGCCTCTTGGTCTTTTACCCCCTATTTTTCCCGTCACTATAAATATCTAATCGTATGTAAAATTTAAAAAGGAAAGTATTTCCCTCTCTTTTCCCCCGCTGTTTTCAATTTCCTATTTAATATTAGTATTTGCGGCAAATGTAAATAACTTTAACTTTGGCGTAATTCAATTAAAATAAATTTTGAACGATAGAGAAAAATCTCTAATGAATTAATCAACAAGCAGAATTCGGCGGTCGCTCATTGTTTTCGAGAAAAAAATATTTAAAACTTGTTATTTTTACTAAGAAATCCACCATTTTATTAGTAATTTGACTTCAAAAACTCAATATACAGTTCTGCCAAGAAGGCCACAAATATAGGAAGCGGGCGACATCATAGTCGTATCAATAGTTCGATTTTTTTTTTAATTTAATGAGTCACAGAACCGACACAGAGCGAATTCGACTTGGATAGATCAGGTTAGAAGGTTCACGCCTTAACCTTCGTGGTTAGGTTATTTTTTTTATGACCACCAAGAAATACGAGCAGAATTGACATATTGACAGCAAAAAAATGGATTTCTATAGTACAAATCACACCAAAGAGAATGTAATCACTACGTTTAAGAGACGGGACTTCCATACTAGCCAAAAATATCAGTTTACGCGGCACTCCAATACCAACCATAACACAAAAATACACAAAGATGTCAAACAACAAGAGTACCAACGTAACGAGCCAAATAGTGCTTAACCAAGCTAGCTAAGCTTCTTATCGATATCAATAAAAGATACTAGGTAGAAACCGAGGTTTCCACTTAATATTTTTTTTATTAATTTTAGCAAGTAAGTATCGAGTCCGTATTCATGTCCAATGTTGATGAGGGGATATTTCGTAGAAGATTTGACTTGAATACGGACCCGAAATAAGATAAATAACGGTTTCTGTTAATTAAAATAAAATTTTATTACTGAAATGAAATTTGTTTCTTGATTCTTCAGCCAACAGCTGTTGTCTTACTGTACACGAGTCTGGAAATAATTGAAACATAAAAATAGAATCAAATTCTAAAAATTATTTTAGTTTTCTTGCATACTCAGCGCACGAAATTAATTATATGACGTATCAATATTACAGAGATTATGTTTCAAAATCCTGCAAAATTCACCTATTCCGATCCTTGCTCATTTATGTAGGCACACCATTCAAATATGTAAAACTTTGTGCCACTACTCTTTCACGTAACATTTTTTTTTTTCAATGATAAACATTAACGTAGTTATCGATATGTGGATATTATAGTTGCAGTACATCACTAGAACACAATTTAAATGAGATAAATTTGTTAATTTTATAATTTATTTGTTCTTAGCCTGCTCTACTTACATATGGCTGCAAAGTATCATATTTAAGTGCTTACATGGGCTTCATCTAAGGGTAATCTCGCCATAAACATTATTTTTTCAAGATTCGAATGACTTGCTCGATTTTTCGATCGAGAGGCATTTTGAATTAAAAGTACAACTCTGATCACTGTCACTAGTTTTCGTGAGTAAGTTTACTTGAATCACACTATTTCATTATTTATTTTTTCGAAAACTATAAGCGACCGCCGAATTCTGCTTATTGATAAATTCATTAGTGATTTTTCTCAATCGTTTAAAATTTTTTTTTAATTGAATTACGCCAAAGTTAAAGTTATTTACATTTACCATTTTTATAACATTTTATAACGTTCAGTACTTTTCAATTTTTGGTGTCGTCATGGAGTCCTTTTAAAAAGTTTTGTATGTTTAAAGTGTTTAAGTGTGTAAGTTTTATATGTGTGGACAAGACTGTTTTTGAATTCAGTGAAAAGTTTTTAGATGTACAATATATTAATTAAACCAAAGACGAAGAAGCGTCAATGAAGTATTTTTAAAAACTCCTATTGTAATAATGCGTGATCACTATTTGGAAAATAGTGTGTGAATTCGTAAATATGTATGTATTTAAAGAATTCTTTATTAGCTTTATATATAACATGTTTTCAACAACAAAATGGCGGACTTTCTTAGTGAAAATAATAACATTTAAATATTTTTTTTTTCTCGAAAACTATGAGCGACCAGATAATAACTATTTGTTGATTATTTTGTGTGATTTTTCTTCATCGAATAAAATTTTATTTGAGGTTTAAAATCACACGGCGCTAAGCGAAAAATTTAACTTTAAATTAGAAAAAAAAAAATACCGCTTTTGATACGATTTCGATATATAATTTTTAATATCGATATATCGGATCAAAATATATTGGCAAAAAGTCTCGATATATCTTTATTTTTTGG